GTGTGTGTCTATGTGGTGTAGCAGGTCGCTAACCATTTCCCCTTGGATTATGGGGGCTTCGTTCTGCTCCCTGTCCCTGTCTTCCAGCTCAGGGGACTGGGTACCCAGAGAACAACTGGTCTTACTGTTAAAGACTGAGGTAAAGAAGAAGGCATCAGGTACCTCAGCCTTTTCCTCGTCCTTTGTCATTATGTTTCCCCCGACATCCAATAAAGGATCGATATTCTCCTTAGCTCTCCTTTTGTTGCTAATGTATTCATAGAAACATTTTTTATTGTCTTTTATGGCAGTAGCCAGATTAAGTTCTAGTTGGGCATTGGCCCTTCTAAATTTCTCCCTGCATAACCTCATGACATCCTTGCAGTCCTCCTGAGTTGCCTGCCCCTTCTTCCAAAGGTCATAAACTCTCCTTTTTTTCCTGAGTGCCAGCCAAAGCTCTCTGTTCAGCCAGGCCGGTCTTCTTCCCCGCCTGCTTGACTTTCAGCACATGGGGATGGCCTGCTCCTGTGCCTTTGAGATTTCCTCCTTGAATAACATCCAGCCTTCCTGGACTCCTTTGCCCTTCAGGACTGCTTCCCAAGGGACTCTGTTAACCAGACTCCTAAACAAGCCAAAGTCTGCCTTTCTAACGTCCAGGGTAGCAGTTTTGCTGACCCCCCCTCCTTACTTCTCCAAGAATTGAAAACTCTATCATTTCATGGTCACTGAGCCCAAGACAGCCTCCGACCACCACATCACCCACCAGGCCTTCTCTGTTTGTCAACAGCAGGTCCAGCAGGGCACCTCCCCTGGTTGGCTCACTTACCAGCTGCGTCAGGAAGTTATCTTCCACACACTCCAGGAACCTCCGAGACTGCTTTCTCTCTGCTGTGTTGTATTTCCAGCAGATATCTGGTAAGTTGAAGTCTCCCATGAGAACAAGGGCTAGGGATTCTGAGACTTCAGCTAACCGCTTGTGGAATACTTGATCTGTTTCTTCATCTTGGTTGGGTGGTCTATAACAGACTCCCACCAGGATATCTGCCTTGTTAGCCTTCCCCCTGATCTTTACCCATAAGCACTCAACCTTATCATTACCGTCGTTGAGTTCTAGACAGTCAAAACTCTCTAACGTACAAGGCTACCCCACCACCTCTCCTTCCTTGCCCATCCCTTCTGAAGAGCTTGTAGCCATCCATTGCAGCACTCCAGTTGTGCGAGGTTACCTTAAATAGTGATACAGGCAGTTTGAAAGAAAGAAAATTATTTTTGTCCAGTACAGATTAGGCAGTACTTCACAAGCCCTTTTGCACACAAAACTGCAGCTTCAGGTATCAGGTGATGAGCAGCAGACGAGGAGAAAAATTTCTGAGTCTGCCACAGCTGCAATTCAGAACAAAACATAACTTTCATAGCCTGAGTATCATCAGAACTAGGAATGCTAATTTCTTGGAGCAGAAAACTTAAGATGCTACAGCACCTGTTAAGCAAGAATAACCCATGTTCTACAGCCAAAGAGCCAAGAACGTGAACATTAAAGATTTTACTAATAAGTACTAGCTAAAATTTGATGAATGAAATGCAAGCTTTTGTAAAATATCATGTATACAGCGTACTTTGCACAGTAAGCATGGGTGCTGTGGTGACTTGAACGTCACTAGTTAAAACTCCTCTTGAAGGGAAAGACAAATGAAAATGGAGTCACATCTCTTAGGCATGCAAACGTCAAATAAAGTATCTGCCGTACGGTATCATTCTTGCAGATAAAGTAACAAATTCTGTTGACTGCTGACCACCATTATTTTAATCAATTTTATACAAAGTTATTTAACTTCTGCATAAAATCCTGGAGTCTAGTTCAATAATTTTTGAAGGGTGATTGCTTTCCTTCTCCTTAATAAATATGGGGATACCCCACCACCCCCTTAAAAATCTAGTCCTCTTTCAAGGAAAGAAACCTGAACCTAACATACCTCAGATGTCTCGGAATTAATACAAAACAATGTCTACCATGATATCTGTCAGGAAAATCCATGTTAACTTGCATTACTTGTTTCCATATGAATACAAATATTTTGCTTCCTCTGACCAAAAATGTGAGAGTTGCCCAGTCTTTGAAGGAAAAATTTGTGGCAGTGGGGAGCAACTGCTTAGACTGGTGCTGACATTTTCTTTTAAGTATAATAATATTCCTAGCAAGAAGGTTAAGTTTTATAGATTTTTCTGTATTATTTTATCAGAAATATGCTATAAAACAAATTTTCAAAGGTACTTTCCCTGCCCATAGGACAAATATCCTAGATAACTAGTAGCCTTTTAGATGGACCATAAAATGCAAGAATTTACAGACAAATCAAGTTCATCACCATCAATATAATTCCAAGACAGGATACAAACATCCTTGGCCCTTAGCACATCTAACATCACAAAACCTCACTGTCTTCCCCACACTTCCATCTCACAAAGGAGGAACTGAGACTATATCAACTCATGGTAGAAGAGCAGAGTGCAAAAAGGAAATAAAACCATCTCCCCCAAGCTCCAGTCTTTCAGTCTTAACCACTGCACTGAAAAAAAAACACAGAACTGTTCCAAGCACAAAGGAGACAATACAATTTGCAACTTTTATTCTATTTTCATAACTGCATTTACAGTTCAAATAAAAATAGGAAGTTTCCAAAACCAAATGCACAAGTTATACATTTATAAAAACAGATATTCCAGGGAGATGACTGTAAGAACAAGTGCTAAACATCAAATAGAGTTGGATGATTCCTTTATACAGGATCACTCTGATTCAGGATCAAAACCAGGTTATGAACTACAGTCTCTGTCTTCAAAAGTCATATTTAATTTTAACGATTTGCTTTTCACAAATTCATCATTTCTTGCCAGTCTTAAGTTCAATTTATGAAAACCTTCCTTGTGTTTTTGTACGTATTTTCCAGTTTTATCACTACGTAAGTATAAGGAACAAATTCTTCAAATATTCAATTATGGAATTATTCAATTTTTCAAAATTAACTTTAAAAAAATTTGGTTCATTCTTTAATTACATTATGCATATTTGTTAATTTACCACATTTATAGGTGCTTAACATCTGCAGTAGTAAAATCAACACTTTTAAGATACATACTTCCAAATATTGACTTTTCACTAGGATCATTCATCTGCAAACCTAATCCAGCTCTTTAATTTTAAGGCAACTAGAGTTTTTGGAAGCACCTACATTTATAAGTTTCCAGGTCAGCACAAAAAGGAAATACAGCTATGCATCAGCCTTTTCTAGCAGAAAAATGGGTTTTCTTGAAATACAGTTCAGAATCTCAGTAATAGCAGCAGCATTTTGCCAGTGGTGGATGTCTGACATAAACTGATAGATGCAATAAGGCAATGACCCAAAGAAAAGATTTCAGTATAAACAAGTTCAGTTCCTCAGTGAATGCTATGCACCTACATGTGCTCTGAACCAACTCAGAAAATGGAACATTTACAGATTTGTTATTAATGCACTAGAAGATAAAGTTATTTGCTATCATAATTTTGTTCTCAGTACTCACCCTCCTGCTAACTGAATCTCATACACTACCACTGAAGTGTTGTTCAATTTTACAAGGAGTGCTTTCAACAGCCAAGAAGCATGCCTACTTCAAAGACTATGATGCATGTTTGTCCTTCTCATATCAATTGGTCCCCCAAACCTGCCCTTGAGCATTTATTCTTTCACTTGAGATTGTTTCAAAACTGTCAAGCAGCCTCCCAGTTATCTTACTCAATGATTTTTTATCAGCTCATCTACAACAACAGTAATTTAAACCTTACTTTCCCCACAAAATTTTCCACTACTAACTTGTTTCTTGGCTACTGCTGATTGCAGGATTCATCCTGTGTCACAGAAACTTGGCTTTCATCTTCAGGCATGCCACCCTATCTGTGGCGCTCTATCAGAAAGGTGTACAACTTACCAGCTCCTTCTGTTTATCAGTCCATCCATTTGGGTAACACTCACACTGAAGCTCCAATGTCTCCTAGCTCATTGACTGCAGCGCACTTTTCCCTTGCCTCAACAAATGGAACACTGGTCCAACCACAACCATTCAGTATGCTACAACAAACACCCCTTTCATAACTACCTGCTCACATCCCATCAGCCCTCTCTGCTGCTCTCCACGTGTTCCCCCTCTACCAAAAAAATGGTACTTGCTCTCCTTCTGAGGGCCTTTCATGGTCTCTTTCTTCAGACTACCATCTCTCATTCTGCAGTAAGTTTTTAATTCTTGCCCCCTGTCAGCTCACAACATCAGCTTCCAACGTATCTGTCATACTTTCAGGCAAGTACCTTTCACATTCCTATGATTTGGAAGCAGCACCTCAAAAATCAGCAATACAGACCATTTCTAGAAATTGTCCCTTTAAATCTTTTTCACTATGAAACCTGCAATGAAAGTTGACAGTTGCTATTCTATTAATGCCCAAACCACTGCATATCATGCTCATCGATACAGTCCTCTCCCTCACCATACTTTGTCAGTTTACATCCAGAGAGTCTGGCATTTCATATTTTTTATTCTATTCTGTGGAGCAGGAACCAATCTTTAGTTCTATCTGTGCAATATGAATTGCATGAATTGAGAGATAATTCAGGCTTCTAAGCACTAAAATACTGCGAAAATTCAGCCAGTAAGACATGTAGACAAACTTCAGCATAACCCTGCATTCACATATTTGCTTGTCCTTATTTGCTCCTTTCCTCTCCCACAGTACATAGATTCCAAGTACTGTTCCATGATACTAAGCTGTTTCATGAATCTCCCAGCCAACACCTGATAGAGTACATATAAAATATTTTGCCCATATGATCACTTGTTCTGATGCCATTTGAGCTCTTACCTTAGTAAAATTATTCAAGTGTCCTAGTTTTCTCATATTTGAAACGCCTTGTAACTTGGCCACATTTTGGAGAATCTCTCGCATATTATCACAGGGTTCTGCAAAAGAAAACAGATACAGTTTAAAAAAAAATCTAAAATCTAAACATGCATTCAACATACAGTTTCCTAAATATAACAGGTACTCTCCTGGTCTTAATTAAGGACGCAGATCATTTTCCCTCAAGAAGCATTAATTTGATTTATGCCTAGAACCAAAACCAGGCATACCCGAGTTCTCTAGAATAAATACTAAAGCCTATGGAGGAGAGACTCCTATTTTAAAGCAGATTTCAATCAATATCTTAGATTTACAGTTGATGAAGAAATCCATTTAGTGTCTGAAACTCCAATCCTAGCATCTCATAACTGAACAGCTTTATCCTTAATCCCCTTGTAATTTAAAGACAAGAAGTAAACTTAAAGACAGAAGTAAAAAGATATCATGTTACTGCCACACTACGTGATTTTTTTTTTTTTCCCTTCAGACAAAGGGTCGGTGAGATTTTGGGAAGACAGGACTCTCTTTCTGCTCTCCATATTAATCTCTGTCCACAATCACCCTAAACTTACTAGAGGGCTGGGACTTTGCAGTGACATGGGAAGTGAACTACAAGGTAAGCAGGGGGAGTAGGAACTTCTCCTTTCTTCCTAAGGGTCCACCATCCCAACAAAAAAATCCCCAGGATTCAGACACCAGTTGATAACCCTGAATTTTGTTGGGAAATGGAAAAGGACTACCAAACATGGGGAGAAGAGACAATATTGCCCTGCCTTTGGGAATAAGTCTGGGAGTTGAGGCAGTGGGACAAGCAGCATAGAGTGGGGCTGGGCACAGAGAGCTGCACACAGAGCTACTGTAACAGAAACTGCAGTAAACTCTGTGCACAACGGTATTGCGGTAGGACAGTTTTCAAAGGGAGATGCTTGACTGCAGGATTTTTGTGCAGTCTTGAATTAGACACTGTATTCTGCGACAGGCACTACAACACTATCAACAGCACTGTAGCTTGAAATAAATGAAATACCAAGGCTACGCTGGAGACGTGAGCTGTTAAAAAGTACTACATTACCAAAAAAGAAAAAAAAAATGCATTACATAAAATAAAGTCTTTAGAAAAAGCCTGAAGAAGAGTCCAAACATTGGACATCTGGAAAGCAGCAAAGAGAAGGGGTTTGTGTGTGGTGCCCCATACTGGCTTCCAGTAAAAGAAACTTGCTTCCTACTACAGTATGAACAGCTACAGCTGAATTTGTGGAGTATATATAGTCTTTTATTTCCCTGTTCATCCTGAAAGGATATTTGTATATTTTTCACTATACAAAGGAAATAGAAAGTATCAGAGATGTAAAGAAAGGACTTTCTCACCACCTCTCTACAAACCAAGTCGAGTTTGTTATCAACTTCTGTAGTTTAAAAAATTTAAAAAGCAACAAATTTGAAAAAGCAGACATATCTAGCAATCTCATCAGGATATATTCAGAACATATTTGGAAAGACAAGAGCCTGTACTTGCACTACCATCAGGAATACAAGGCACTATTTAAAGATTAAGACACCTACAGGTAGGCACCTGAATTCAGGTACGTAAACCTGTGCTAGATATCTCAGCTCCCATTGTAGTTAATGGATCTCTCATCTATCAGCCAATGAAGTCTAAAACAATTAACCTGACTAGCTGCAAGGTGTCTACTCAAGGGTAAGGTGAATCAATTGTATTGACTACACTGCTTATAATGAGACTTTAGCACATGTACAGACATGCTACTGCCACACCACATAATTATGATTTTTTTCAGACAAAGGGTCAGTGGGATTTTGGGAAGACAAGACAGGCATCAATCTCAATCATCAACAGCTTGTATGAAATATCCTCTTCCACAAACCTTAGTCACAGCAATAAGCAAAGTCAACTGTCAGATACACAGCCACAAGACAGAGCTACCTTGCATTGCAGAACACTATGCATAATGAAACAGTGAAACCAAACATGCAATAACTTTGTATTTAAATTGGAACACGTGTATGCATCTGTTTGGACTCCCCCACCCTGCAACAACAACAACAAAAAAATCTTTGATACAATCACAGAAATTAGACAATGAAAATCTTACTGGATCCATCCCAAGTTTAGGATTCCTCTGCATAGTTTATTTTTCCAGGGCTTAATTCAGTTTTAGAGGTTTGCAATAGCATAAAACATAAAAAAAAAAAAAAAATAAAAAAGAGAAACATTGAAGACAAATAGGTTGGTATAGTTTACATCATAACCCCTAATTTCAAGGGAACATAATAAGAGAGGAAAATAACTTCCTCATAATTTGGTTTCTCTGAAAATACAGTTTGGTTGATTTCTACACTTTGGCCTGCCGTGGGTTATGAGTGGGAATTTCCCTGGCTCACACCACTTTTGGACCTGTAACATATCCCCATTACACCACAAGAAAGATCCCAGTTGAGCAGCCTTAGAGCTCTCCAGAATGTTCTACTTCAATTCCCTGAAGAACAAGCAGCAACAATAACTTTCCAAAATGACTGGAAATATGCTTATAAGTTTTAATTTTGAAAGTGCAGATGGTTACATACTCAAGGTAAACCTCTACCAAAACTAAGCTCACTATATGGACAGGAAAGACCACGAGACTAACCCAGGAAACCTCTTATATGTCATTGGCAATGAACGTTTCTATTCAGCTACCTGATACTGTGGGCAGTAACTCAGAAGTGAGCGAGGTGTGCTGTGCAGAAAGGCAGCCAATTTGGACATGAAGAAACCAGGACACGATGATGCTGTCACTTCCCACGTTAACAATTCTGTAGCAATAGCACACCTTTATAATGAGGCTGCATAATTAAAACGTGCACAAAACCCATTTTACTCTACACATGTATGAAAAACTGCAGTTATAACAACTTTTCTCACATCGTCCTCTTTCTGCTGAGAAAAGCTCTCATTTCTAGAGAGACAGAAAAGTCCGAGGAAAACCATCTTTGTAGTGCTTAGCAGAGCAGCCAGTTATTTCCCAGAAGCTTCACTAGCAGATAAGTAATTTGGAGCAAAGTAGGGACCCCAGCATAAGATCTACAACACTGTGAGAAAATTGAGGACATGACAGACATTTCCACTATCAAATGGATAATATGAATACAGCAAGTTATCTGGCTCACACTTTGATAATATCAGCAACACTAGTGCTGTAGAAAAAACAAGACAGTAAAAAAAAAAAAAACCTCTAATGGCATGCTACCTCAGAAAGAACTAAGATTGTTTAAGTCTTCTCCATCAAGCCTTGTTTTAAACTTCAGAAGAACCTTCTTGCAAAAAAACTCTTCAAAAAAGTTAACAAAAGAATTGTGACATATTAACTTCAAGGAAAGACAGGCTATCCTGCTTCTCCTCTTCTGGAAATGCATGATATATTAGAAAGAAGTAGAAAATTTACTCAGTTACTCTAGCATGACTCATTTTTAATAAAAATAAAGTCAATAGGGAAGGTAGGCAGGCCTAATGGAACGTCACACGTTGCAGATATAAAAATTTAAACAAAATAACGTGACTTCACAAATAGAGATATAGTTTCTTGCTATTCTGTCCCTTACATTAAAATAGACTTGAAAAGAGACTAAATACATTCTAGATTCTACCAACTAAGCCATGTGGCTTTCTCTTAAAGATCAGTTACAGCACTGCATATCTTCCTGTCATAAAATCTCATGCAACAGCATTGAGGAACATGGACTAACGCAGAAACAGAAAAAACATGGCACACAATCAGAAACTGATCTCCCAATAGTAGTAGTATCATGGCCTTAACATTTCATTGTCAAGCTTAACAGCTCATGTTGGTGTTGATAAGGACAAATTTATTTTTTTTTTTACAACCCCAGTTCAGACCATTGTTGCAGAGATTTCTTAGCTCTGATTAACCAGCCCTTACTCTTTACCCCTTCAGAAGTTCTTGCTTTTCTATCTGAAATAAAAAAGAGAAGCTACTCATTATAATTTTAAGACCCCTCAATAGTCTATTCTTTCCCGACTTCCTCATTTATCACTGAGATGCTGACTCAAGTTCGCCCATAATGATAACCAAATATCTTCCCATTCTTTCCCATGGTGCTTCTGAGGGCGGAACTGTGCAAAATGACTGAGCTGATCTTACAGCTTTCTTCTACCAAAAGATGCACAACCCCCTCCCTTACTTTCCTTCCCTCTACTCTGTCCCACTATACGATACACCCTATCCTTTAAACTACTCTGGCACCCATTGACTTCACATTAAAATGATTCTGTTAACTAATTCGGCAGGATACTTTTCATTCTTTTGGCTGGGTAAGTTTTATGCTGGGTTACTGAGTCAAACTGAATACTGAAGTCATACAAAAATCTACACACAGCAGAAGAGACTCATTAGACAAAAGTCAGACTATCTTTTTTTTTACCTGCATTTTTACACCCGGCAAGTTGTCTCGATTAATGTATACAAAGCCACTTTGTCTCAAATCTCATCTAAAAACTTGTTGATATATACAAAAGTTTCAAGCCAGCCCACTTGTGTTCTGCAACAGCAGCTTAACTTGCTGATCACTACCGTCTCATTTTCTGTATATCTGTCTTCCTTTTTTGGACAGCAAGCACTTTGCAGTAGCCAATATTTGTTCTGTGTATTCCTACTACACCAAACACAGTTCTTCACCCACACCTGTTTGCACTGAGTAACACCAGGTACACATAATGATAATCCTTAGCACACAGTGAAATGCGTTTTTAAAACCCTAGCCTCAAGAATTCCATGATTCTCTATGCCTGAAAGTAATTCATAGATGAATGTATATTAAAAATCTTCAAAGTTGTGCTGTTGTTTGTTTTTAAACTCTCATAACTGTTTAGGGCTTGACTAATTTTTTTCATCCCTTCAGGACTGTGACATTGTTTTTCCCCAATGAGAATCACGATGCATTCTGACAGATCCCATTCTCCAGAAAGAAATATCATCGCAGAGCTCAAGCTACACAAAACAGCTAGGCTCCATCTAATGCAGGGATGAAACAGG